TCTGTTCCTCCCCACTGCTCTCAGACACTGCAAGAGGAAGCAGCAACAAGCTGACAAGTGGGTGCACGTGGAGGGGAGGAGCATTCTCTGTGGGCGGGAAGGCTTGATTTCCTCTCCCGGAGGAATCAAGGAGGCACGTGAGGGATAGAGATTGTGCTCAAACACGTTGTCTAGACCCCAAATAAAACTTGAGGTTTCTTTTGTCCACTTTTGCTACCGCCTGCTTCGTATGCCCTGCATGTACACCCCCAAGTCTTCACTTTGCATCTTCATGTGCTGTACGCATCTCACCACACCATTGCACCCACCTTCCCTCAGCCCCTGCTGCTCTGATGCTCTTAGTTTCCCAGTGCCTGTGCCCAGAACTGGGTACTAGTGGGATTTAAAACACTTCCTAAAGTTGTGCTGGGGTTGAGGAGTTTTGGCAAGAGGCTGTGCTGCCAGGTACCTTTCATAAAGGGAGCCATCCACCCAGAACCAGGCATCGGAGAGCCCCTCGCCATCTGGGTCCTCTTCCTCCAGCCAGCCATAGTCATACCAGGGGAAGCCGCTCTTCTGCAGTCCGATCCAATATGGGACATCTGCATTCTTCAGGAAGGTCTGGGGAAGAATAAAAAGGGCCTTTTCACATTTTTTCCATGGTACCTATGTATTGCAGTGTTTGCAGGGAGTGATCATCTCCCCAAGGAGACCCTGGGGCTAGAGCTTCTTGGAGCAGGACAACTGAGCAGCCGAGGTGCCCTGCTCCAGCTTGGGCAGCACCAAGGGGGGGCAGAGCCTCTGCTTCATGTCCATCACCAGCCATGTGCTCCAGAGATCAGCCTTGCACCCTCCAGTGTTTTGGCATAGCAGGGGCCTCCAGAACAGTGCTAGCCCATCTAGTGACCCCAGGTCTGGATACACCCTTTCCTGCCCTCAGCTCCCCCAGCACCCTACCGGCACAGTCCAGCGAGTCCAGGATTTGGTGATCAGGAGCTGAGAATATGTTCTCTCACACTCATCTCTGCTGTCCTCCCATGTCTTCTTTTCTGAGGAGATGAAGAGGCACTTGCCCCTATACAGCAGCCAGCCGGAGGGGCAGCAATCTGCGGGCAGGGGCACAGCTCAGATGCTTGATCAGACACAGATGCCCTGGGGGGAACCAGGAACAACCCCACATCTTCCCAGCAGATATCACAGGCTCAGCCTCTGCTCCAGACATAGCTTCAGCCTCAGACCACCCTGCCCCCACCACTTGACCAAAAAAAGCCAGTGCTCGTGCCTTGGCACTGCACCTGCTGAGGGATGCCAGTCACCCAGGACACCCCATCCCTGCTCCATCATCTCCCTACCTATAGCTGTGCAGGAGCGCAGGACAGCCACGGTGCTCTCGCTGTTGTTGAGCTTCCCCTGCACCTCCTGCATCTCCTTCTCCGTCTTGCCCAGGACCCCCCTGACGTGCCCCAGCTCGGCGCTCATTCTATCCAGCTCCAGCTGGCTGATGTTGCCCTCGTGCCACGCTCGCTGCAGCTCCTCTCTGGCCCATGCCAGCTCCACCCGTGCCTGCTCCAGGCTCTGCTCCTGAGTGCTCAGCTCCTGTGACAGGCGGCCCTGCTCGGCTGCATGGTTGTGGGAGGCGTCTGCACGGTGCGGGGCGTGACCTGCCAGTCTGGGGACAGAAGGGGTGATCTGAAACACGGGCACGGGACAGCCTGGGTGTGGGACTGACCCCATTTGGGGCAGGTAGGATGGGCAGGGCAAGGCAGGGTGTTGTCCATGTTGAACGGGAAAGGATGGAAAGGAAGGACACAGCAGCAAAGCGTATGGTTAAGGGCTGGACAGGACTTGGGAGGGGAGAGTGGGGCAGGGGCAGGATGGGGTGTGGGACCAGGTACAGCAGGGCAGGGGCAGGCAGAGTGCAGAAATATGAGGCTGGGCAATGCCAAGATGGGAAGAAAAAGGAGCAGAAACAGAGGGCAAGGTGGGGAAGGTGGGTGATGGGAGGCAGGAGGAATGCCTATCCTGAGAGGGATACAGGACAGCTTGTGGCAGACAGGGAAGAGGGACTCAGCCAGGAGCAGCATGCATGGGCATGCCCCTATTCACTCCATGCTCAACCACGGCACCTACCCCAGCACAGCTGCCTCCCTGCCCCAGCCACCCCCAGCCCCAGACGTGCCCAGACCCCTGACTCACAGCAAGCCCCCAGGGCCACAGTGGCCACCAGCAGCAGGCAGATTATCAGCAGCCCCACTGGGATGCACCACCGCCGGGACCAGTGGCCTGCAAGACACAACAGACATCACCTGGAGACCTGGAAAACCCCTGGCAATCCCCATGCCTATTGCCTGCAGACAGTGCTGTGGTGACGTGATGGCACAAGTGGCATGGTGTAGGCATTTCCTCTCTTAAAGGATGGGAATGGGAGCACCCCAAAACACCACCCACTACCCATGCCAAGACCTCGCTTGGTGCCCTGTATTCCAGCTGGGTACTCACCTGGGTTGGGCTGGGCCCCGTCCCCGTCCTGCCCTGCCGGCACCGGCTGTGTGTTCTCGTGGGGGCTCTCTGCCTCATCCATGCCAAGGGCTGTGGGAGGAAGGCAGGGGAGAGAGGCTGAGTCCGTGAGGTTGGGGATGGCAGGAGCAGAGTGGCATGGTCTGTGGGCTCTCACCTGCCTCCAGTGCCTGGCTGGCCATGCTCCGGCCTCCCATCACTTTGGCAAACCTCAGGTCAGCATAAACCATGCTCTGGGCCATGTGGGCAAGTGCTGGGCAAGCCCTGAGCTGTTCAGGCTCCCACTCTGCCCTTGGGGTGCCTTTCTGGGATGGTCCTGCTCCTGGTGATTGCACTGCGTCTCGGAGGTGCAAAGGAGAAGTGCAGCCAGCATCTGCAGAAGCAGAAGTTTGCTCTGCGTTGTAGCAGATGGGACCACTGAAGCACAGCCGCAGGTATCAGCACCCTCTCATTGGTCCCAGAAATATCAGCCCCTCCCCTCCCACGCTCCAGAAGTCCTTGTGGTCCCCCTGGGCACGCAGTAGGGCCAGGGCAGCACAGCCTGAGGTCACGGCTGTGGCAGAGCAAGGACCCAGATCCTTGGGTCAGGGGAGAGCAAGGGGAGAGCAGGGAAATCCTCAACACAGGAGCACATTGCCCTGTGGACAGCTCTGTGGAGGGCTGGAGGTCTTCACAGATTCAGATTTTCTCTCCCAGCCTCTGAGAATGGGAATTTCCCCACTATGTAGCGTGTGCCACTGCCTCTCATCCTCTTCCTGTTCCCCTCCTAGAAGAAGTAAGCTTTGGCATTGCTCCAAACCTCTCCCACACAGTTGCATAGAGCAATGACATCCACTTTGCCTTCCCTGCCTAAGACCACGACCCCAGAACCCACAGAACCTCCTTCTTGGTCCCTCCAGCCTCTCAGCATCTCAGAGATCTCTACTGAACTTCATCCAGAGAAAGGTAGGTTTCAAAATGGACACTGAGTTGGGGACCAGTTGGGCACACCTGGATGCAGCCAGTCCCTGGAACAGGACTGGAGGTGCACAGTGGTGCTGTTGGAGCACAGCGTTACAAGGCTGTAGTGGGTTGGTTTTGTGGACTTTTTAGGCCTTCCTTAGCAACGGGGTCAGAAATCTAGGGAAGTATTCCATATCATCCCTTTCCATAACACAACATATAAAAAGGCACAGATTAGACAGTTCACTCTCTTCTCTCTTCCAGTGGCTGAAGGAGACAGGTCTCTCCATAGATGGGCTTTGCTTGTATAGTTCAGGGCCTGCTGCTCAGACCTGCCATTATCTCCATTCCATTTGAGAGGCGTGGGGAGTTAGTTCTGCTGTCTCATTCAGGCAAGTATTTAATTGGTTTTTGTATTTATTTGCTAGCTCTCTATTAATGGGTATATTTGGAGGATATTTGTTTTTAGGTTTTTTTCATCCTTGTTTCCCCCTCCCTTTTCCCTTTTCCCCCCTCGGGAGCTCCCTATTGTGTATAATATATTCAAATTGTATATATATTTGTAAATATATGTAATATATATATATATTTGATATAATCCCGTTTCGTTCGGACTCCTTTCAGGCTTTTTTCTGTGGTTCATTTTTTTTTCCTTGCTTGGGGAGATCAAGAAGGGGGAGGAGACAGCTTGGACTTGGCAGGAGAGCCAGGCCAAACTGGTACAAAGGCCACTGCCCATCACCTCTGCAAGAGCAAGGGAAGTCCTTCATCAGTGGAGAAAGGCAAAAATGACAGCCAACTTCAAAAGGGACAGGAAGGAGGTTTGGAAAGCTAAGGGTTGGACAGCCTCCACTCAGTCTCCTGGAAGAAAATGGAGCATATCCTCTTGGGCATGCAGGTGCCCAGGCCCAGGGAGGACATGCTGGGGAAAGGCCAGTGGGATGTATCGGGTGGCTGCCCAATATTCCTGCTACTGCTTGGGACCACTGAGCTGGGTACAATGGAAGAGTAATGAGACCATTTATCATGACACTTCAAGATCTGAGACATGATTTTCCATGGTGTCCTTGCTGACAGAGTGGGGGCATGTGACCATAATGAGAGGAGAAGTGAAAGCTCATGCTGCAATGTGGAAATCCCTTTTAGGCATTAAGGCAAACATTTCCACACAGCAGCGATGCTCCAATTCTGGAGCAGAGCACAAAGAAGAGGGAAACTCCATCCTGGATGGGGTCAGCACCAAAGCCATCTCTTCCCCCCTGTAAGCCAGCCCTGCCCTAGGGAATTAAGTCAATTCTCCATAGGCAAGGCCTGCAGCTCTGCCCAGTGCCCCAGCCCCGAGCTGCACTGCCCCCTCCACTGCCGTCCCAGGGGACCCCTTAGCAGTTTCCGGGGGTGGAATGAAACAGGATGGTGTTGCTGGGCCAATGGCAGGGCGCCAGTGTCGTGGCTGTACTTTCCCATCTGCCACACCTCCTTACACTTTTGCTTCTGCGGAAACTAGCTGTACTTTTTCTCTGCAGCAGCAGCAGCGCCCTCGGGGCCATTGGGGTGGCCCGGGCATGGCGCAGAACGTGGTCTACGCCGACCTGAAATTTGCTGAGGGGTCTCCATCCACTGTCCCCGATGAAGACGACAGCCCCTACGAGAACGTGCTGCCAGGGCCGGTGACAGCAGTGCCCAGTCCAGGTGGGAACCCGGACACAGCCACTGCCGTGGGGATGCCCCTGTGCGGGGTGGGCATCGGGTGATGGCAGGGATGATGCCCAGGGGTGCTTGTCTTTTGCAGAGCGCTCGCCCCGGCGATGGCACATCCCCAAAGCGCTGCTGCCAGCCAGCCTGGTCCTGCTCCTGCTGCTGCTGGTGGCCACCGTGGCCCTGGGGGCTTGCTGTGAGTCAGGGGGATGGCCGTGGGTTGGGGGCTAGCGAGAAGGGGTGTTGGGCTGGGCCAGTGACGAGCTGCAGGGGGTTTGTCAGGGATGAGGGGTGCCTGAGGCTGGGGGTCCAGGACTAGTTGCTTCCTCTTTCACGGCTACATGAGCTGCCTCCCACTACCTTCCCACTCCCTCCTACTCCCCCCCACTGCCTCCCACAGCCTTCCCACTGCCTCCCATTGTCCTCCCCCTGTCTTACCACTACCTTCTAATGCCTCTCACTGCCTCCCACTCCCTGTCACTGCTTCCCATTGCCTCCCACTGTCTTCCCACTACTCCCCATTGCCTGCCATTGCCTCCCACAGCTTCCCACTCCCTCTCACTCCCTGTTACTGCTTCCCATTGTCTCCCACTGTCTTCCCACTGCCTTTCTACTGCCTTCCCACTGCCTCCCATTGCATTCCCACTGCCTCCTGCTGCCTTCCTGTTGTCTCTCACTCACTCTCTTTGCCTTCTTATTGCCTCCCACAGCCTCTCACTGCCTTCACACTGCCTCCTACTCCCTCCCACTGCCTCCCACTCCCTCTCACTGCCTTCCCACCACTTCCTATTGTCTTCCACTTCTTGGATTGCCTACCACTACCTCCCACTAGCCTTCTCATTGCCTCCCCTTGCCTTCCCACTGTCTCCCACTGCCTCCTACTGCCTGCCATTGTCTCCCCTCCACCTGCCACCATTGGGACTTCCTTTCCCTTCTCATTGAAACCCCCAGGACAATCTCTACCCACAGACAGGCACTCCTATCTCATTCTCCCTTGCAAGTCCCATGGCCCAGCTGTCCCATGCCCATGACTCAGCTCACTGCCCTACCCCCAGACTGGCAGGTCACCCGCAGCCTGCAGGACACCTCCCGCAACTATGCAGCCGAGCAGGGCCGCCTGTCACAGGAGCTGAGCACTCAGAAGCAGAGCCTGGAGCAGGCAGAGCTGGAGCTGGCGTGGGCCAGAGAGGAGCTGCAGCGAGCATGGCACGAGGGCAACATCAGCCAGCTGGAGCTGGATAGAATGAGCGCCGAGCTGGGGCACGTCAGGGGGGTCCTGGGCAAGATGGAGAAGGAGATGCAGGAGGTGCAGGGGAAGCTCAACAACAGCGAGAGTACTGTGAGCAGCCTGCGCGCCTGTGTGAATACAGGTAGAGTTGTGATGGGGCGGGGGCAGAGGCAATGTTGCTCTTGGGCAGATGCAGGGGTTGATCTCGGCCGGGCTGGGCCCCTCGAGCATCTGTGGGAGGATAAGTGTCTGACCTGTGCCCCTGTCCCCAGAGTGCTGCCCCTCAGGCTGGGTGCTCTACAGGAGCAAGTGTCTCTTCATCTCTGTGCAGAAGAAGACCTGGCAGAGAAGCAAGGATGACTGCAAAGCAAAATCCGCTGAACTGCTCATCCAAGATAGCTTGCTACCATTGACAGTACCGGTACAGAGCAGGGGTATTGTGGTACCCTAGGAGGGTGGGACTGGGCAGAGTCCCACCGGGACAGCTACAGCAGTATCTGTGGAGGTGCTGGGGTAGCACCATGAGCCCCAGGTTTCCTTTCCAGAAGTCTGGGAGGAGGAGCACAGCCGACCCTGGCGCTCCTGGGCACCAGGCAAGTGCTAGTCATGAAGCAGGTGGCTGACAGCTTCTCTTCTTCCAGCATTTTGTGGAGGAGTCTACTGAAAACTACTGGATTGGACCAAGCATTTATTATAACACAAAGGCATCTTCTGAATGGCAGGACAGAAGTCAAACCTGGTAAGTACGAGAGTGCTGGGTGCAAGCACCTGCCCTTTTCCCACACCAGAAAGGTGCTGATTTGACCCTGTTACATCCCCCAGCAAAGGGGATGATGGTCCCCCAAGGGAAGGGGGTCAGGGCAGAGCTCAGCTGTGGAGTGTACTGCCAGATTTCCAAGTGGCAGAGCAGAAAACTGGGAGGAGGAATGCAACCCTTCCTCAGACTGGTCCCAGTGCCAGGCACCCTGCCTGCCCCAGCGGCACTGAGAGCTATGGGAAGTGGTTTCTATAGCAAGGATGTTGTCACTGCTATTCTGAGATGTGCCCTCTTTCCTAGGAATACAATGTGCAGGGTAATAGAATATGGGAAAATCAGGCATATATCGTGCCGGTATTCCTTTCAGTGGATCTGCGAGAAATCCCCGAAATTGAGCAGCACATCTGAGGCCCAACCTCCTCTCCTGGACAAGATCTGACTGCTGACACTCTACTCCACCTCTGGACTTGGCGACAGGAGCTGGGGATGCACCCCAAGACTCTGTTCCCTGTGCATGCATTGCCTCAACTGCATTACAAAGCACTGGGAAAGAGGGTCTGTATTTTAAAGGCTAGAAAAGAAACCTTATTTCGCTTTCTTACACTCATACATACACTTATCACACCACCTTGCACTGTGTCTCTGTGTGTTCCTGTGTGCCCTGGCCAGCACACCCTGCAGTGATCCAAGTCTCCAGTGCAAAGCCCAGCTCCCACTTTCTGTGCTCCCCCAAGGCTGCCCGGGGAGAACTGTGCAGGATCTGCCATTTGCATTTTCTTGGAGCTGTGGGATGACACATTGGTATCCCTCAGTCTGTCCATTTTGGGGACTTCTGTGGATTTACAGCCTGTCTCTTCTCTTGGCATTAATAGCTCTCATCCTGCCCTTTTTCCTGCCTCCATCACCTGCCCAGGGCTTTGGGCTGGGTCTTGCCTGGGAAGAGCGCAGGCAGTGGTGCCATCAGCATGAGAAAATGCTGGGAAGCCACGAGACCATATGGGAGATGGGGAAGCTCTGGGGAGCCTTGAGAACATTGAAGTTGAATAAGGAAACCCTGAAACCATGGGAGAAAAAAAGGTGCAATGAAGAGCCCTGAGACCATGGGGGTGAATGCAGTAACCCTGAGACCATGGGAGGACGTGGAGGTTCAGTGAAGATGCCTGAGATCATGGAAGGCAAATGGGAGAGGCCCTGAGGAAATGGGGTTGCAACTATGAGTCTTAAGACAGTGGAAGAGAGAGGGAAGTACTGAGGAGACTTGGGAATGCTAGAAAAAGGGGACCCTGGCACCATGAGGGGAAGGTCCCTGAGACCATGGTGGAACCTGAATTGCCAAGCAGGGTGATAAGAGAGCCCTGTCCAGGATCCAGGTGGGGTGGGGAGGGGGAGTCCAGGTGCAGCACTGACCCTGCTGACTCAAGTGTTTCTGCAGAGAGTACGAGGTGTTGGGAACCATTTTGCTAAGCTGGGTTTGAGACAGCCAGCATGGTTTTCATCAATGTAAAGTCCTGCCTAACCAACCTAGTGGCCTTCTACAATGGAGTGATTTCATCACTGAACAAGGGAAGGGCTACAAATGTCTTATATCTCGACTTCTGTAAAGCTTTTGACACAGTCTCCCTCTAAATTGGAGAGAAATGGATTCAATAGGTGGGCTGTTTGGTGGATAAGGAATTGGTAGGACAGTCTCATCCAGAAGATAGTGGTCAATGGCTCTGTGTCCTGATGTGGACATTGGTGACCAGTGAGGTCCCTTGGGGATCCATATTGGCACCAATGCTACTTAATGCTTTCATCAACGATGTGAATAGGGGGATCTAGTGCACCCTCAGCGAGCTTGCAGATGACACCCAGCTGAGAGCTGTGGTTGATACATCTGAGGCATCCGATCCCATCCAGAGGGACCTGGACAAGGTCAAGGAGTAGGCCCATGGGAACATCATGAGGTTTAACAAGACCAAGTGCAAGGTGCTGCACTTGGGTCAGGGCAACCCCAGGTACCAACACAGGCTGGGGGATGAACAGATCAAGAGCAGCCCTGCTGGGAAGGACTTGGGGTGCTGGTGGGTGAGAGGCTGGACATGACCCAGCCATGTGCACTCACAGCCCAGAAACCAATCCTGTCCTGGGCTGAATCCAAAGCAGGGTGGAAAGTGGGAGAGGGAGAGAATTCTGCCTCTCAGCTCTGCTCTGGTGGGACCCCCATCTGGAGCACTGCATCCAGCTCTGGGGTCGTCAGCACAGGAAGGACATGGACCTGTTGGAGCAAGTCCAGAGGAGAGACACCTGTCCCAAGCCCAGCACTTTCTTGGTGCCCGGGAACCTCAGGGCAGGTAGGGGAAGTGAGCAGGGGCTCATCAAACTTCAAATCAGCATAGACCACACTCTGGGCCATGCAGGCAGCTGGGCAGTAGCAGTCCAGGAACTCAGTTCTGTTCTGCTCCACTGTGGTCATATAGCAGACTGTGGCTAAGACCATGTGGGATGGAGACACTTCTTCATATGCAGAAAAGCAGAAGTAGTTGCTTTATTTGCAAAAAGTGGTTTTATTTCGGAGGATGCTCTGGCTTTGGAGGGTGGGGGGTGAATGAGCTCCACTCTGGGCTGCATGCTCTACATCTGTGCCCCAGGCTGTGAGGAGCCCAAGCTCCTGTGTACTGGCCACAGCAGGGCTACATCACCCCATGTATCACCTTTTCCCTCCCAGCCCCTGCTCAGGACACAGGATGCACTTATTATATCGGTCCTCTGAATATGCCAGGGAGAATCCCAGGGATGTTCATGCCAGAGCTCCAGGCTGCTGGAACCAGGAGGTCTATATTGAAACTTTAACAGCTGCCGGAACCAAACACCTTCAACTCAAGCCTCATCAGACCTTTCAGGCTCTCACACATCACCCAGATTCAAAGCAAAGTGAGGTCACTTGCTGGAACCTCCTCAGACTGGGTCAGCACCACTAGATAAGCTGCTGCCCAGTCCAAGTCCTCCATGGGATGAGGAAGTAAAGGGTCACCTCTCAGCTGTGTGTTCCAAGAAGCATAAACACCAGGCAGCCACCACAATCAGAAAGCTTTCAGGAGACCTGCTCCAGCCTGCACAGGAGCTGCCTCATGCTGCCATCAGGCCACGAGGATGCTTGGATTGCTGCTGGCTGAATGCTGGCTCCTGGAACGGTGCAGCAGAGGCAATTTCCCACTTTTCATTGATGCAACCGAGTCAGTGAGCTGGAGGATGCACCTCTATCACACCCCTGTCATTCCCCAAAGACAGACACAGTTTTTGGCAGAGTTTATTGGCAAAATGCAGTTACAGGGAAATAAAGAGGTCTGAGCCAGGAGGCAGCAGTCAGTGCCTGCGAATGCCCATGAATTGGAGTCAGGCAGGGAACATGGTGGTGGGACAGGCTGGAGGTTCCCACAGCCATCAGGGCCTCACACAGCTGTAGGTGGTGTTTCCCCAGATGAAGGAAGGAGGCGAGGACTGGAGCCACTGCAGGGTGGCTGCACTCTGCTTGCAGACCCATCCAAGGGGTTCCGAGCACAGACCACCCGACAGCCCCAAGCCTGACAGCCTGCCACAGGCCTGGTAAGACCTGGTGTAGCGATGGATTAGGAAGATCCTGCAGGGAGAGAGTGCACTGAGACGGGATGGACAGGAAGAACTGAGATTGTCCCATCAGTAAATCCTCCAGCCAGGGACCAGAAATGGCACAGGGATGCTGCGGGGCAAAGCTCACCCCCCGCCATGGAGCACTGTCTCCTGCCTCCTCCCAATTAAGCCACATTTTCTGATGCTCCCAGCCCCATCAGGTACATGAGACCCTCAGGTCCCTCCTGGCAGGGCTCAGCACCAACTGCACCAACCAAAATCTGGGAATCTGCTTTTGGGGGAACCCTCCAGTCCCTCACCCAGGCAGAGTATGGGCACCAGGGTCAGGCCTCTCTTCCCTATCTTCTCTTCCCTAAAACGCCCCAGTGCAGCCCTGGGGAGACAGGAGGTGGCCAAAATATGGAGCACATCCCTCCATGCCAGTGTCCCCCTGTCACCTCCCTGATCCCTGCTGCTGGACCCTCAGCAGCCCTGGCTGGGGACAAGCTGACAGCCCTACCCCTTCAATGTGGTGCCATCCAGCCACTTCCAGTCAGATGCAAAGCCATCCTTCTTCAGCCCCACATGGAAGACCTCCATGTCCGTGGTGCGCATCAGGAAAGCCTAATACAGGAGAGGATCCACGTGAGCTCCCTGGGGGGACACACAGCCCCACCCACGATTAGTGATGGGGGCTGTGCAGCATGGGCACAGCATTGCCAGCTCCCTGCCTGGAGGCTTAGCTAGGATTTGGGCACATAGGCCAGAGCCAAGGAGCTGAGACAATGCTGCTGATGGGTGGGTGGCTGCTGAGGGACCTTGAGGTGGTCACCAGCACAGCCCGATGCTCGCAGGGAGCTGGACAGGGCAGGCTGGGTGCACTCACCAGGGTAGTGTTGTCTTGGATGGTGACCAGCTGTGCCCCTCTGGAGCAGCAGTCCTCTCTGCTTTTCTCCCAGGTCTTTTTGGCAGATGAGAAGTAGTAGCACTGCCCTGCATCCCAGAGCCAGCCGACCGGGCAAAACTGGCATTGTGCTGCACACCAGAAACACAGTAGCTAGGATTGGGCAGGGGCTGCCCCCAGCCCCCAGCCCAAGGGGCAGGACAGTGACAATGGGCAGCCACGGGGTACCAACCCACCCACTGTGCTCCTAGGGCTGCCCCACGGAGACCACCCTCCACTTGCTGTTATTCGGGAGCTCAGCTCCCGTCTTCCAGCCCCAGCTCCCCAGAGGGAGGCCCTTATGAGAAGGAGCTCCCTGGGGAGAAGGAGTTACAGGAAGGTGCTGGCACTGGGCAGGGAGGGGAGCTCCAGTTTTGCAGAAGCAATACAAACACAATTTCCCAAGTGCTGGGAACTCAGTCAAGATTTCAGTTGGACCAGAGATGGTCAAAGAGAGCACCTGATGCCATCTGGAAAATGGATGCTGGTGGCATCCATGAGCCTCGTGCTGGTGGCATGTCCAGGTAATGCTGAACCATGCTGGGGTCACCTCTTCCAAAGGTCCCAACATTCAGCTTGTTCAGCAGTGCTGGGGCAGCTCTCTATGCTATGAGCCAGGGGACAGGTAGCAAGGGTGAAGGAATATTTGGGGTGGGGAGAATGTCCTGGAGCACGGACAGATCCTGCTGCTTGAAAGGAGCAGCTAGGCCCTCTCCAAACTTTGTCCAGGAGCTCACCAGGCTCTCTTACCTCGCAGTGTCTGTTGCCCATAGCTGGGGCTCTTCTCCATGCTCCAGAGATCATGGGTGCAGCTCATCTGTTGTTGTACTAAATCTACAGAAGAAGAGCACAGGGGTGTCCCAGCAACTCTGGGCTCCTGCTCCCAGCAGCACACGGTGTCCTCTCCCACAGGGTGACCCCACAGCTGTGGGTGAGGACATCTCCTGCTTTGGGTACGCCAAGCCAGCCAAGGGCCTTGCGGCTTTTGCTGTGCTTGGGAGCCCAGCAAAACACAGACTTTCGGGGAAAGTGCTGCTGCCTTTCAGTTTCAGTGTCACCTCTCTCCTTCCTGCTTTCTTTTCAATGCCATGTGATGGCCTTCCCCAAGCCCACGCTGTGCCACCAACTTTTTTTTCCAGTCAAGTAGGCGATGTCTTGCCTAACCAATTTTCTCACTTGCCCCAGAACCCTCAATGCACTCAGCCCCAAGCGGGAGGGCCCAGCTCCTTGGGGAAGCTGCAGCTCTGTCTGTTGGCCCTGTGGTGCCAGCTCCAACTGCAAGATCTGAGACACAGAGATCCAGGCACAGGCAGGTAGGTACTCACAGTGGAAGCTCAAGCTGACAAGGATGATTTGTGCCAGCAGAAGCACCAGGGAGAGGAGACCCAGGCTGAGGGCTGCCCAGCACCAGGGCAGGCGCACCGGCTGCTGAGGACCTGAGAAAAGGATTTAATTTAACCTAGACCCTGGGGGGCTTGGTGGGAGCAGTGCGTAACTTCCAGCCAGGAAATGTCTGTGAATCCCAGGCAGGATGTCAGAAGGCAGTAGGGTAGCCCAGGAAAAGTGAGGGAGAGCCCATTTGCAGCAGTGTGATCCTCCTAGAAGTTGTTTCCCTGCAGACAGCACTTTATATGGGACAGGGAGAGCAGAGCAGGGACTGCCTGTGTGTGCTGTGGCATTGGGGTACAGTGGGCATCCCCCACTCTTGAGCCTCTCCTGCCCCCCACCCTGAGAGCAGGCAGTCTGTAAGGAGGCTGGAGAGGAGCTGCTTGGGAGAGGACACACAGAAATTGGGGTAAGCAGGTCTGGGAGGCCAAGGGTCTGCAGGAGGGCAGGGAATCTGCTGAGAGAGCTGGGTGCCAGGGACAGGGAGCACCGCGCCATTACCTGGTGTTGGGGGAAAGCGCAGATCAGCGTATGTGACCCTCTCTTCCATCCCTTCTTTGATTTCTTGCTCTGCACCCCACAGGGACACTGGCAACCCTCTCCCAGACACTTTGTCAGACGGGTGTGATGCAAAATGGAAAGTGTCACTTCCTGGTGGGGTCCCCAGAGGCACCACCTGGGACACAACCCAGGGGCGTCATGGTGCTGACAGACACTTGGGGCAAGGGGCTGTTGGGGCTGGCACCCAGGCGTTCCAGCACAAGGGAACCCTGTGGCCCTGGTTTTGGGGTAGCAGGTGACGGGGATGGCTGCTAACTCAGACACAGGTCCAGGGCTGAGCTGGGCAGCCATGTCATGGAGTCATAGAATTATTTGGGTTGTAAAGGACCTTAAAGATCATCTTGTTCCAACCTCCCCTGCCATGGGCAGAGAAACCTTCCAGTAGACCAGGTTGCTCAGAACCCCAGACTGGCCTTGAACATTTCCAGAGATGGGGCATTCACAGCTTCTCTGGGCACTGTACCAGTGCCTCACCACCCTCATAGTGAAGCACTTTCTAAAAGAGGGAAAGCCATACAGGGAGCAGCTGAGGTCACTTGGTTTATTCAGCCTGGTGGAGGCTGCGGGGAGACCTCATCTCAGTCTACAGCTTCCTCACGAAGGGCAGCAGGGGCAGGCATCAATCTCTTCTCTGTGATGACCAGGACTGGACCCGAGGGAATGGCATGAAGCCACGTCAGGAGAGGTCTGAGTTGGATATTGGGAACAGACTGTTCACCCAAAGGGTGGTTGGACACAAAACAGGCTCCCCAGGGAAGCGGTCACAGCACCAAGCATGACAGAGTTCAAGATGTGTTCAGACAATACTCTCAGGCACATAGTGTGACTCTTGGGGTATCCTGTGCAGGGCCAGGAGTTGGAATTTGATGATCCCAGTGGGTTCCTTCCATTCCCCCTTGTCCTATCACGTCGCCACGCGCCTCTCTCCAAGCAGCAAGGCCACGGGGTATTTGCTTACAAGTGGTCTCTGCTGCCCTTTCTTTTGCATGGGGCTGCAACTGCATCTCAGCCCCGGAAAGCGGGGGGCTGGGGTGCTCCTTACCCTCCCCCAAGCCTTCAGGGCTGCCGCGATGGCCATCCCTGCCGTGCCCCCCGAGCCCCCAGGCCCCCGGGGACAGACAACGTCCCCCGCTCCGGGCTGCCAGCTTATGCTGGGGGAAGGATGGCTCATCCGGACTACGTTTCCCAGCGGCTCCTCCC